TTTTTGTTTTTGGGGGAGTAGGGGAAACCCCCTACCATGGCTCAGACAGCCCACGCAGGCTGTCTGAGGGGTCCTCGCAGCCATGTGGTGCAGACCCCCCCACCAAATATCCAGGCAGGAAGTGAGTATGAAGTGGAGACCGAGCTGGCCGAATATATGCTCAGAATTCAACTTAAGATCTGTGTTTCAGCAGTTATGGGTTGCACACGTAGCTAGGCCGTGTTGGTCTGTGCGGAGTTTGAACGTGATTCTCAGGGCTTGGCTGCACTACTCACCAAATGTGCAAAACTAGAATGAATCTATTGCAGATAATGGAATAATACGCCGCCGTATGTTTTGTCTGCACGTCTTCCTAAGGAAAAAGAAAAAGGAGAAAAAAAAAAAAAAAAAAAAAAAAAAAAAAAAAAAAAAGAGTTAATCTTCCTCAGAAGATGGAATAATACGCCGCCATATGTTTTGTCTGTTGTGCATGGGCTGAGTAGAGGCCCCACTTCACATATTCATAAGAAAAAAGAAAAAGGAGAAAAAAAGAAAAACAGAAAGAAAGAATGAATCTTCTGCAGAACATGTCTTTTGTGCATGTGCAGAGAGAGGCCCTTAGGGCCACTGCACGTTTGTTTTTTTCTTTTTTTTTTAATAGGGCTATGGCCTTGAGGTATTATCATCGGACTAACCAGCCCTTTAGTGGGGACCAGCCCACTCGTGGCCTTCAGTGTCGGCCTTGAGTGGCTATCAGGTTGGATGAGGTATTATCATCGGACTAACCAGCCCTTGAGAGGTATTATCAGACGACCCACGTGGCCTTGAGTGGCAGACCTATAGCAGACCTATAGCTGTGTGCATGTGCAGAGTGTAGGCCTTGAGTGGCAGACCTATAGCCTTAGGGTGGCCTGATAGCCTTTTCAGCCCAGGGTGGCCTGATAGCCTTAGGGTGGCCTGATAGCCTTAGGGTGGCCTGATAGCCTTAGGGTGGCCTGAACATCAGCAGAGACTGCCTTTTGGGGGGACCAACGACACCGAGACGAGAGGGCGTTGCTACAGACTTAAAAAAAAAAAAAAAAACAAGAAAAAAGAAAAAAAGGAAAAAAGAATGAATCTTTTGCGGAACATGTATTTTGTGCATGTGCCGAGTAGACGCCCTTAGGGCCAATGCACGTATTCCTAAGAAAAGCAAGAAAAAACGAGAAAAAAGAAAACAAGAAAAAAGAAAAACAGAAAAAAAGAGAAATCGTTTTTCTTTTCTTAGGAATACGTGCAGTGGCCCTAAGGGGCTCTACTCAGCACATGCACAACAGACAAAACATATGGCAGCGTATTATTCCATGTTCTGCAGTAGATTCGTTCTAGTTTTGCACATTTGGTGAGTAGTGCAGCCAAGCCCTGACAGCCTACCTACGTGAGCAACCCATAACTGCTGAAACACAGACCTAAAGTTGAATCCTGAGTATATATTCGGCCAGCTCGTGCTCTACTCCATCCTCGCTGCCTGCCTCTGTTGGGGTGGGTGGGCGGGTCTGAGCCACATGGCTGCGAGGGCCCCTCAGACAGCCTGCATGGGCTGTCTGAGTCGTGATTGGGGGTTTCCCCCATCCCCCTGAAAAAAAGAGCAGCACTTTTTTTCTTTTCTTTTTTTTCTCTCTTTTGTCTGGGGCATTGGCCCACAGCCCCCTTCAAGCAGCGCTGCCGCTTCCCACACTGCCCACAGCCCCCCCACCGAATCAATCGATTTGTTTTTTTTTTCTATATATATATATATTTTTCACACCTCAAAAATCGCCCCCCGAAATTTTTGATTTTTTCTTTTTTCTTTTTGGACAGGCCGAGAGCGGTCGACGTGCGCACGCCGCGCGCGCGCTCGGATTTTGTGGGCGCGTGCCCACCTGGGCGTGCCTCGGCCGCGCGCGGACTCGGCTGCGCGGCCTAGGCCGCGGACCCGCGGCATAGGATCCCGGCCGCTGACTCCGATCCTCCGGCCGTGGCCGAGGGTGCCACGTAGGCGGGCGCTGGAGTAGCAAGGAACCTGTTTTCGCGTGGACGGTGTCAGTGGAAGAGAGCGCCAGTGGGTGCACACAAGGAACGCTCTGTTCGGGCGCACATAAGGAATGCTTTGTTGTCGTTGAGCGAGAGCACGCGCAGAACAAAGGGTAGTGGTGGATGCACCACGACACAATCCGGCGCAGCGTGACCCTAAACTGACCCCTATAAACACCGATTCTCACCATCGTCTACGCAAGCTCTTGCGGTGTTCCATTCAAAGGTAGCAGTGCAAGAGCTTATCGAACTCGGACATCTCCACGTCGCAGAGAACTGAAATGTAGAAATGGATCAGAGATACCCCCGGCAACCCTTCCAAACATTGATTCTGTCAATCGACAAGGCGACCGCCGACTCGCACGCCTGGAACGGAAACGTGCAACAGCGCGAACCGCACAACACGCAGAAACACAAGCATCCCTGCGACGGTAGCCCGTGCACCGTTGGGGGGGAACATTGATTGGGGGTGGGAAAAATTGTGCGCCTTCTGAAATGCCCTTGAAGGGGTTTATGGGGGTTGCCGACGGTGACAACGGTCGTGTCCCTTATTTTCGGCAACCCCCACAAACCCATTGAGGGACTTTTTAGAAGGCGAGCAATTTCTCGCACCCGCAGTCCTCTCGCAATCAACTCGCACTCGAAGCTCCAGCCGTCAAGCGAAGGACGGTTGGATATGCGCCGATTCTCGAAGTCCGCCAGGTATTGGAATGGCTGGTTGGCGTTTGCACACACCCTGTCAAAACACACAAAAATTCTATTCATGGCGGCGATGAACGTCCACGGCATACCGGAAATGGACCCGGCCAGTGACACCGACGTCAACCCCCATGAACCCCTTTCAGGGCATCTTAGAATGCGAGCACTTTTGACGACGGACGGGGGAGTCCGAGCTGACGAAAACAACGGTCAGATTTGCGAGGATACTCTAAGTCCGCCGGGATCCGAATTTGGCGGGTGATGAAGTAGCAAGGGTCTTCCAAGTCAAGCAATTCGACGGCGCACATTATGTGAAGTCCGTCGGGATCCGAGGCAGAAACAAAGTCCAAGCTGTTGAGAAAAAACAGTCAGATTTACGCGGAGCGTCAAAGTTCGCCGGGATCCGACGTTGGTGGGTGCTGGAGTGGCAAGGAACCTGTCCAGTGTCAGTGGAAGGAAGCGGTAGTGGGTGCACACAAGGAACGCTCTGTTTGGAACAGAAGGACGGCTCTGTTGTCGTTGAACGAGAGCACGCGCAGTACAAAGGGTAGTTTGTGGATGGATGCACCACCACAGAATTCGGCGCATTGCGACCCCAAACCGACCCCTATAAACACCGATTTCCACCATCGTTTACGCAAGCTCGTGCGGTGTTCCATTCGAAGGTACTAGAGCAAGAGCTTATCGAACTCGGACATCTCCACCTTGCAGAGAACAAAAACGTAGAAATGGACAAAACATCCCCCCTGCAACCCTTCCTAACATTTATTCGGTCAACCGTCTAGGCGACCCCGGACTCGCGCGCCTGGAACGGCAACGTGCGACAGCGCGAACCGCACAACACACAGAAACACAAGCATGTCTGGGACAATACTCCGCGCACCGCGACGGTCAAAACCCTTCGGGGGCGACAAAGGTCGGGGGTGCGAAAAATTGTTCGCCTTCTGAAATGCCCTTGAAGGGGTTCATGGGGGTTGCCGACGCTGGAAACAGCCGTGTCCCTTATTTTCGGCAACCCCCATAAACCCCTTGAAGGGTATTTCAGAAGGCGAGCAATTTCTCGTGCCCACTGTCCTCTCGAAATCAACTCGCATTTGAAGCTCCGGGCGTCACGCGAAGGACGGTTGGATATGCGCCGATTCTCAAAGTCCGCCACAATCCGAACTTGGTTGATTCGCCTGTAGCGAGTAACAGGCATGTGACGCAGCTGCAGGTATTGGAACGGGTGGTTGGCGTTTGCGCAGAAGCCGTCGTCAACCACAATAAACCCCTTTCAGGGAAACTCAGAAGGCGAGCAATTTTGACAACGGACGGGGAAGTCCAAGATATCGAAAACAACGGTCAGATTTACGCGGAGACTCTAAGTTCACTGGGATCCGAATTTGGTGGGTGCTGGAGTAGCAAGGGATTTCCAAGTCCAGCGATTCGATGGCGCACATTACGTGAAGTCCGCCGGGATCCGAACTTCGTGGATCGAGGGCTTTCCTCAAATAATGTTGAGTCGAACTGCTTGTCCGAAAACCAAGCAGTCACGACACTAGGGGTGTCTTGGCAGCCAACAGGACGGGCGATGCAAATTTCTCGATATCCGCTGATATCCGAAGTTTGTCGAAGCAGGGCCATCCGGATTGAGCCTGGCCGCTTGTCCAAAAAAGCGAGCAGTCATTCCGGCACCATTCATGTTGCAACCTGCAAACTGCCCGCAACCGTAGCGGCAGTAGCGCTGTGTCTTGGTCCGGACAATCGTGGGGACGTGTGCATATTGCATGCCGTGCTAGTCCGCCGAGATCCGAACTTCATGTTCACGATCTCGAGGTGCACTGGTGGAGATGAAGGGATCGCAGTCGTGCTTGTCCGCCGGCATCCGAACTTCGTGCTCTTGCCAGGAGGAACGTGTGCGAGATCGGATCCCAGCGGGCCACGTCGCATGCCTCCTTCAACTTCGCTCGTGAAATGCTTAGACGCGCCAACAACGACCGGACTGTTGGCCCAATGGCGAGCTTTCGTCGCTGCAGAACGAGGTTCGCTCCATGGTGCCACGTGGACCGCAGCGCACTCATCGTGTTAGGAGGAGGACGTCCGTCAGTCCACGTGCCAGACAACGACAAGAACCTCGTTCTTCATCGACGACAGTTCTATCGACCACATTGCACAACTGCAGCCGATCCGGGACGGGGTTTTCACCGCAGTCTGCCAACTGGACTGATGGAGGTTCTCCTCCAGCAGCGTTGAGTGCTCTACGATCCACGTGTCAGTCCACGTGCCAGACAACGGGGCGTACCTCGTTCAGCAACGAAGACGTTGCACAACAGCGGCAACCTTTCTCGCCTTCTTCTCGCTTTCACATCGACCAAGCGTTTCGCTGTTTGTCTCGCGCGTTTGGTAGTTTGTCATGCACAATACCGTGCAATGTCGTAAATGCAGAACGAGGTTCGCGCCGTGGCGCCACATGGACCGCAGAGCACTCAATGCGGCTGGAGGAGAACCTCCATCGGTCCACGTGGCAGAGCGGAGTGAGAACCTCGTCCCGCATCGACCACATTTGTGCACTCTGGTCGTTGCAACTGTCCATTGCGAAATGTGTGCGGTCGCACTGGTCTTTGCACCGCGGTTTTGACAAAGCATCTTATTGTGTACTGCAATCAGAGCAAGCTCATGACGGCAGGGTTGCTTTGCCTGCAAACGGCCAATCGCAAAGTTGACTTCTGCGCGATTCTGCTCGAACCCTAATGCACTGTGTTTGGCGCATGGCGAAAAGTGCCGGTGGGAGAACACACAAAGGCGAGAAAACACGGCGTGTTGGTCTCCATGATGGCACAGGAACATGCTTATTCTTTACTAGTGTTATGTTGTGAGATTGCACGGATCTCGAATCATCTACTTGCATAAACCACCCGTGCTATGGATGTAGGATCGTTAACCCCTTCGCAGCGTGTCGGATGGGTGGAGGATCACATGGCACGTGGGGACAGGCCGGCGCGCCGACATGCCGGAAGCTACAAGCGAAGTGGCAAATTGACACACCACAGAAGAGAGACTCCTTTCTCTCTCTCTCTCTCTCTCTCTCTCTCTCTCTCTCTCTCTCTCTCTCTTTTCTCTCTCTCTCTCTCTCTCTCTCTCTCTCTCTCTCTCTCT